TGCACTTTATGTTCATTCCAAAACTTTCACACAAAGAACAACAATAGAAGATGGTTTCAATTTCTGCGTAGCAGCCAGCATTGATATGTCTCGCGTGTATACAATCTTTGAATGAGGAACCTCAAATAATATCTGCTCTGGAACTCACTCAAAAACAGCTAGAACCGAAGCAATGTCCTGTAGTTATCGACGGATTGGAGTACGATAAGCCTGTTTTCTTGAATGTCTTTTGTTTCATACAGAAGAAGACGTCTACACGTAACGGAATACCGTCCTTATCGTACCAGTATGCCATTATCTCAGGATGTTGCTGGTCTACATAATTATCATCTTTTAGTCAGATAAAAACGACCACTTATCGAATCTAGTTTCTCACGCGCAAACGCTTTATACAGCCATCCTCATCGAATATTCCTCAGAAGTTTCAATATAGAAAGACATGTTAACAAAACAACTGCTAACATAATTGGATGTGGGTGTGTAATGGAGATTGGAGCGAGGGGAAGGAATTCGGTGTCCTAGAAATCAAGTTCTACATCCATGCTACACATCCGCACCGACGCTCGTACCCTACATCAACATCCACACCAATCCCCACAGTCACACATCCCACATCGTTGTAGAGCACGCATATTCAGTATAAAATTTGTTGTAATTGCGATTTTTTAGTTTATTTGGAAGTTGTTGAAATAAATTAATTCAAGCCCTGTAAATAATATATCATAAATTTATAGCAGTTCGAGTTTGCGAGTTTCGCATTTTCACTGCTCTCATGGAGCCGTAAGGACAAGTGTTGTAAAAATATGAGGTTTATTTGGATTTTATTAATCGTCTGATAATTTTTTACTTTGAATGTTTTACTTATGCCATGTGCAGTTCTTTTCAATGGAATGTTTCATTGAATTACATTCTAAAAGAAAAAGAAAAAGAAAAAAAGAAGGCAAAAACAGCCAGAAATGAAGTGATGTACATTGTTGCTGTAATAGAAATATAACAAACGAATACTTCTACGAACATGAGGAGCGTGTCACACACAACATACTCGATGAAGTTGAAGGCTACCATTACAAAAACTTTTTCGGTATAGTTAGTTTTGATTACTTGATTTTGATAAGAAAATTATAAGGATGATTTCTCAAACTAGAAAGAATATATTATTCCTTGATGATGAAGTGACTTTAAAATAAAATGGAATTATTTAAACATGTTCTGAGGACTGCAGACGTAAAAAAAAAAGATCTGTTAAGAGACATTATGAAACCAACTGTTGAAATATCATGAGGAACAACTCGCTTATGCAATTCCAATATAGCAATCCGAAATATTTTGAAGGCCACAAAAATGGTTTCTGTACGTGTAAGGTTTAGATGCGGGTGAAGAGATAACCTACATCCAAATCTATCCCATAGTCACATTCATACCCTAAAACTTTAATACTATTGGTAGCGGATAGCAATAATCAAAAGAATTCATTTATTTTTGTATGAGATCATGCTTCATTTCAATGAGTTTTTCAATAAACACAAATTAAAAAAGTAATGTGCATTTGATACTCATTGAATATCAAGCTCAAGTTAAAATAACTACTAACAACAAAAATAAATTGATGAAAATGGAAAATATACATTCTGTTCTTTTAATATTTTGAAAACAACAGATTTATGTATTTCAATTGATTGTCATCCTGTTGAACATTGATTGTAAAACAAATTACGCGAACAAGAATTTGAATTGTGCAAGAGATATTGACGTTTACTTTTTCGATTAACTTTTGGGACACCATACATATTGAAAACTATTAATTTTTGTATTATCTTAAAAAAAGATCGTTTCATGTCTATAATGACATAAGTTTTATTTATTCAAGCACGAGAATAAAATACGAAGCTTTTCCTCGAATAGTCCAACTTCACTTACTATCAATAGTCATATCATCGTATAGACAGTGAACGAAATCGATTATTGTTAATTGTTGCATTGTTTTGAACGATGTCCATGACCTCACAACATAGAGATATGTATGTTGGTGTGCGTATTCTATTCGAAATTAGCTCCCTTACATGAGAATTGAATTTTTGCCTTTGTCGCATATACTTATAGTGTGCTTCTCACCTCAAATGTTTTACTTTGGACAAGCACAGTCGTTCTCCACAAGTTCGTAGTTGACAAATACTCCAAAAAAATAAAAAGAACGAAAGATAAGAAAAGTAAAATGTTGCTGTCTGCCGAAAGTAATACATGAATTATTCGATAAACAACGCAAACAGTATCACATACAGAAAATGCAACCTAAAACTAGCAACAACACTCCATTAAAGTTTTTACGACTATTTTATTTAATATCATTTGACTATGGTGAGTAACTTATTAGGATGATGTGAATAGGTAATCAGAGTAATTTAAAAGTTAAATACATAGAGTAAATATGGTCGAACTATTAGAAGGGATCAGGAAAATAATGAACTGGAAACCAATGGCCAACTTTTCGAGTAGCAAATCAACTGATAAATGGTTGTCAGTTAGCTCTCTAGTTGACTTACTTTTATGAATTCATTTCATGCTTGTTTAGTCTTTTCATACACCTTAATTCCTAAGATTTTCTCATAACTTACTCAAGAGGTTATGATCGAGATTAGTCTAACGTAGTTAAAAGTCTCACAAGAGAAGGTATAAAATTCGTACTGTTGCATTTCTAAAATGTGGCAGCGGGTGGCAAACATCAGATCATCCAGTAAGCTGGCAGAATGAGAGCGAATACTTTCGCATACATATCAGCACATCGTCACGAGGAAAAATGCTGTGAGTCGCAGAACAATACCTCAGGGCGTGTTAATAAAACTTCAAAGCTAATAATAATGGGTGAGATTCAGGACGAAAAGCTTCGAACTAGACAAATAATGCGTTTTATAACGATAAAAGATAATGGATCACAGCTAAAGGCCTCAGAATAAAAGTGAAAACCATTTGATAAAAGAGCCACCCTTGAGAATGAGAGTGGAGAACTTCGGATTCAGACAAAGATATCAAGGTGAGAGAAAAGAGACAGGTAAACAGAGTAATACTTAGTGGTGGGAAGTTACCGTTACGTTCCCAGGTAACTGGTAACTTTTTCGTTACCAGTTCCCGGGTAACTTTTTCGTTACCAGTTCCCCGGGTAACTGGTAACGGTTTGGAAACCATCTCCCGTCCCCAGCCCCGAACCCTGGGGTCCTCAAGTCCTATTTTCGAAAAAAATTTGTTTTATGCAGAAACAAATTTTTTTGGTAAACCAATTTTTTTACAACAAAATTTTGGGGTGTTTTCGAAAAAATTTATTTTTTCTCAAAAAGTCTGTTTCTACATTACAAAAAATTTTCGAAAAAATAGGACTTCTGGACTCACTCGAGGGTTCGGAGTTAGGGACGGAAGATGGTTTCCAAACCGTTACCAATTACCCGAGAACTGGTAACGGCGGTAACTTCTCCGTTACCAGTTACCCGGGAACTGGTAACGGTCTGGGAACGGTAACTTCCCACCCCTAGTAATGCTCAAGGTTATGGCAAAAGCAACACCCGGCATTGCCATCCGTCATTATGATCTGAAAACATTCCTAACCATAGCACAACGCGTAATAGTGAAGGAGAGAAGCTCCAGACTTCACTGCATTGCATCTAAATCAGGGTAAAACCGTTCGCCAAGTTAGCAGGCAATCTAGTCAACTGAAAACAGTTTCTACCTACGCAGCCATGCGCGAGCATAGAAGCGAATGTTTTCCTTGCCAAACCTCATTAAGTCATAATGGACGGTGTGAGATATGCGTGTGAATCCGCAAAAACACAACCACACCCACACCATTTTCGTGTGTAATCATGGAGTTGATTGCTGTTAATGCAAAGAAGGAAGCATACCATATATAACTGTATATTCATATTAATTCGATTTATCATTTTTCTTATTTCAGATCATATAAACTCCTAGTTTGCATCAGTCAAACTCTCTTAATCGTAGTTATCTTTTGTGAAGGAAAAAGTACGAATCAAGTCATTGCCTTCAGCGAAAAAGTTTACTTTTCATCTTAGATTTGTGTATTTCTTTCATGACATTCTGCCTCATATTATAGGATTAAATTAACAGCGATTGTTTTCATGGCAAGAATAATCAAATTTTTCTCTAAGTTGTTGAACTCAGAGAGAGAAGTATCAGAATCAGCAAGTCACATGGAACATTTATTTGATGGTGATAGTGAAGAAGAAACATTTTTTGATAAAGTTTTATCTGGTTTTGAATGTTATGATGAATCAAACCGAGCACGTAGAAACGAAAATTTATCGGTAGATACTGATTTTATTATTCAATGCGCAATGAGAAGTTTAACATCGTCCGAATACTCACAACTATGGTTAAAGAAAATTTATGCGTTTTTTTATATTTATCGTCGAGTTGCAGAATACAATGATTATGAACGAAAATGTAACGTTCAACTGAAAGAATTTCAAGACAAACTACTTCAACAATTAGGAGTTGTGTTCAAATTAACAAAAGGTTCGAAACCAAATATTTGCATAGAAAACACAGATCTGATAAAGCGGATAAATATTCAACAACATTTGACTACAGTTACGCTAATTAAAGATGTAGAAGAACTGCATATATTCTTTGCTCTTTGTAAATTAGTATTCCAGTCATCGTTAATGGTCTATGGTAGTGTTTCTCTGAAATGGGTTGATATATTATCGAGAATACGTCAGTGGAACGTGTCACTCATTAATTTTGTTTCTCAGTATCTAGAGTATAAACTGGCATTCGAACAATATTCACTCGATATGCCAGCGTTTATTTATCTAATACAGAGACTCTACTCACCAAATAACGTTCAAGAATCGCCGTTTCTCATTTTTCAAAATATTCTAAATCAATTGAATTTAAATATTAAAGAATTCTTTGATCGGTTTCACACTTCATTCAGTAATGGTATAAAAAATAAGCTTTACAAGCCTCCACACATTTCTTCCTTACTTCAAATGTTAAGTGAACATGATGAAAGGCTATTTCATAAATACTTAGAAATTTACTCATCATATGTGGATACCGATGCTATATGGAATATGTTTCTGTATCTGAGTAAAAATGGTGATCTTAATCAAATCATGCAAACACATCTTGGCTCGATTTTAACGCAGCGAATTCAGATTATTTCAATCAAAACATTCAAACAGTACAATCAGTTGATCAATGAATGTTTAAAACAAATGAAAGATGGAAATCGTGAACATTTTTTGAGACTACTTGAAACCATACTTCACGCATTTCTCAGCAGGCAACTTAACGATGAACTATACTCTTATCAATTCGAAGAGTGGAACTTAAAAGAATTCTTAACTATCGGTCTTGAATTAGCGCCAACATATAGTCTTCAACATCGAAATTGTCTGCTTATTATCCAACATTTATTATTCAAACTGGATAAGAAAGTAGCAACAAAGTCTAGGAAAATCAAATGTTTATTTGAAAGATTAAATAATCTTGATTCAAATTTATGTGAAACAAATCATCCGGTTGATATTATACAAGATGAATGGTTAAATGACTATATTTTTCATATTCCTCAAGATTGGTTGGGATTAAGCAGATATGATTATCAAACTCTACGTGATATTCATCGTAATAATCACTGGGTAACTTATATTTGGTCAAAACTTATTAACTTGAGCCTTTTGAAATTAGACACTACTAAATGGAATGAAGCGCTAGCACAATTAAATCAATGGATGATCAATGTAAAGTGTGATATTTACGATGCCAATGACACTTTGACAATTATTTTCGTTAAGAATATATTCGAAATTATCATTTCCAAGCATACAAAATCTGTGTTGTCTCTTCCCAATATTGAATCGATTCTTCAATATATTCTACGTGCTAAAGAAGACAACTCATCTTTAATTGATAGAAAACAAGTTGATGATTTCATTCAGAACGTATGTCATTTGATTCAGGATATCGTATCACTAAACAGTAAGTTCGATTGATCAGAGTTTTTTTTACCAAAAGCTTATAGTCTTCAAGAGCTTGAAAGAAAGTCTAGATCAACAAAATTATTCAGTTTAACCGTTGAGAAACATTCTATAGGACAAAAATTTCATACTGAAGTGAGTAGAAGTCTGGTTATGTTCTATTTATATTGTTTGACTATTGTCAATATCTGTTAAACAAGTAGTAGAGTCTATCCTATTTGGTTTTTGGTAGTTTTTTCTTAAAATTGATTTGTAACTTAAGAGTAATTATCCATGAATCCAGAATCCTGAGCAACTATAACTTCTTTCATAACATAAAATCAACCATACAAAACTTACTGTATTATGTGATCAACTATTTATTTCTGCTCAAATGATTTCTGTAAATATAATTAATTAAAAACCAAGTTTCTTCTAATAGTTGGTAACAAAACTATATACGCATTATGAATGTGTCGTTTTGTCATTATAGGCACACGTGCAACATATGACGGACTCTTACATTCGTCAAACGTTTCTTATTTTCTTCCTTTCTTCGATTTGAATAATATATTTACTTCATCAAATCCACAACTGTATAAATTTCCTGTTACAACACCCGAAATCGATACAATTGTTTCTATTTCCAAACCAAATGATATCGATATATCTGCGATTGATCCAAAAGAGCAATACTTCTGCTATTTTATAAAACAAGTTAATCAATGGCTAGAATGGTTTGACAAATTTATTGATATTTTTCAGTATATCATCGAATGGCTTAAAAACCGAAAAGTAGATGGTGCTGAACAATTATTTAATGAGATATATACAATCAAAGATAATTCAACGACTAAACTTAATAAAATAAAAATGATCATCCAACAAATTTTAAAAATAATCAAACCTCTCAATAATCTTCAACGCCTTTGTGATCTATTCAATTGTCTGAACTTATTTGAAGATATTAATCCTGGTAGTTTAAGCCATCCAGACCAATGGAAATCTTATTTTGCAGAACTAAAACGGTTGCATGTCAATACTACATTTACAGTCAATCATCATGCAATACAAGATATAACATGCCCAATTGATGCTCGTCGACTTGTTCGCTGGTCAGTCGTTTGTCTAGAACTTGATTGTAACATAAAAATAGAGTATCAAATTAATACATCTCATTTAAAGAGTGACACATTATTTCACAAACAAAATGTTCCTCTTCATAAACAGATTTTACGAGGAGAATTTAAAACACAGCGAAGTGGCAGTTTAAAAATAACGGTAGACAATCAAACGGGACACGCACCACGAACAATATGGTATCAATGTAAAACAGTCTCTTTATCAACATGTCATCTATTTGATGGCATTTTCAGTATGTTTCGTCAAAAATATTTTAAACAATCAACTGAAAATATTAAAGAAAATGATTTAATTAAATTGATGAGTGAAGTCTTCTCTTTTATTGATAATCTTTTGAATGGTAATATTACTTTACAAGAAATGGGCTATCTAAAAACTGTTTTTTACGATAAAAATATTGACGTTAAAGAAGAAGTCAAAAAATTGTTTGCTAATCGTTCAATCACAGACAATCAACAAGAAACAATGAGAACGACAACCACAACAACAACAACAAATATTCTTTCACATAGTCAAAGTGACCGAGAAATAGAACAAGTTTGTGAATGGTTACGAACTTATCAATACTACAGTTATCTTAATAATATAATCGATTGTGTACAAAGATTTAATATTATTTCAAATAGTGATGAAAATGATAAATCACTCGATCATCTACAAGAAATGACTATGAATGAAAATTGTTCTCTTAAAAAAATCTCAGAAACTTACAAAGATCTTTATAAACGTTTTCAAAAACTAACAAATCATCATTTACAATTGATTAAAACGATAGTCGAATGTTCAAATGTTGTTCAAATGATGGAAAAATTTGATTTATATTCTAGTAATGGATTACGTCGATTTCAAGAATTACGAGATAATTTAACAACACAATTTCAATTACAAGAACGCAATAATATGATTCTTAATTCATGGATTATTAGTTATGCTCTATGTGAACCATTTGTTCGTCAAGTAGAAAAATTAGAAGACTTTATAGATAATCTTGCAAAATTATCAAATATTGATGAAAGTTCATTGGAACATATCAAAGGTAGACTAAATATTTTTAATATCTTCAAAAATTAAATGCTTATGAAAATTAAGCTAGCACAGATTTTGAGGTCATTGTATTTTAACTATCGTTCTACATCTATCCTTACTCATTTTAAAAATTGATAACAACAGAAAGCAATCTGCTTTAAACTACGTTAGATATTTTATTTTATTGGATTAATATATCCTTCAAATAGTGTAAATGTGAGAATAACAATAAGTCAAGAGAAAAACAATATTAATATGAAAACAAGTTCGTAATAGGTTTTTATTTAAGAGTCTTTTCAATTAGATCTAGTAGTAATAAAACTATTGTTATTAAAAAACGAACAAGAAGAGACAATGATATTGAGTAGTGATAGAGAAAAAGTTTATTTCATCTAGTGCTAAACACAACTGGTACTTTTTGTATATAACTTTTAAAAAAACGTATATGTATATCTACGGATCCAAGAAGAGGACTAAAAATCGTAGTCTATTTTTCCTCGATTCTAGCTATATAAGAAAGTTCATGGATGCCCTTATGAACTGAGCAGAATACAAAGTCGATTTGATTTTGAATAGAGTTAGGTTCGTAGGATCGTTCATGTTTGATCTTGCACTATTTTATATTCAATCTATACCAAATTTCATTATAGTTTATCTATAAATGCAAAACAGAGATTGAAACCAAGTAGCTTAAAGTAGTGTGATAAAAGCCGTACTGCTTGATTCACATGTCTGTGTTCAACATAAGTCAAATTTTTGTGACCCGACCCAAGTTGACCTTATGTATACAACCTGCGATCTTTATATGACAATTGAATAGAGAGTGGACTCGCTCTGCATGGTTTGTCCAATGCTAATAAAGAAAAGTCGGTTCAGTAGAAGAATTAGAAAACTCATTAGTCGCAACGTTCTTTTAACTTTGAACTCTCGATTTAAGAGAAACAGATATGAACACTTTTTGTTATAAGAGACAGAAAAAAAGATATTTAAAATAATTTGATCGTTTTCTTCTTCTTTTTTTTTCTGTAGCTGTCAATGATAATATACAAATTGTAAATATGTGGCTAACAGCAGAAGAAACAACAATGTTAGACAATGCTCTCATTACAATGGAACATTTATACAAGACGGGTATAGTAAACATTCATCTAAGACATTTAATGAATGAGCAATCCTTCTTTGAAATCGAATATTCAATTGGCAAAGTATCAGCACAAATTAATAGAACAAATGAATCCGATTGTGATGACGAAGAAATAGAAGAACAACAAGAAAAAATAACATTCACATTGTCTATGAGTGATATTGACGATCATAAACGTCAATTAACATTTTGTAATGTTGATCTACAAAAAAATATGATTGATAAAAAAATATTATTAAATGAGCAATTAAAACTATTATATACGATAGAAAAAATTTATTTAGTTCTTATTAAACTAGAAAAAGTTGGTCATCCAAATCATCAATTAAAAGACTACAGTTATAAAATTTATGATCAATCAGGTAAAATTAACAAAATATTATCCGATTTGAAAGATAAACAAGATAATATTGAACAAGAACTTGAACAAGCAATTAAACGTCGAACAATTGATTTTGAATCAATTTATCGTGATTTAGAAGCTCATTATGACAGATGGATAAGAGATTTAGAAAATTATCGATATGAAAGTCGATTATTAAAATTATTTTCAAATCGTCAAGTTATGATTATGATCATTTTATTGACAATATCAACAACACAAAATCAAATTCAATGTAAATTTTTAGAAAAATTATTTTCATTAAAAGATCTTAACAATCAAAAACAAGAACAATTGAATTTAATTATTCTATGTTTAATTCATTATTTACAATCATTGAGAATAAAATATTGTAATTTATCTAGAGACAATATTATTTATCTATATAACAAATATAAAATAGGATAGGGTTCATCGGCAGATACAGGTCTACAAAGCTTATGT